TTATTGAGGTATCGGATTAAAAATTTATATTTCTGTTCTTTTGGGTCTACAAACTCCAACAGTTATAAATTCAGATTTTTTAAACTTTATACTCCGTATATTTAATATAAGTGTCTGTGAAAAAATCACAAAAATTATGAGTTTTAATATTAATATATTCTTAAATTTTGGGCTAAAAATAAAAAACTTATAGAATTTTAAAAAGAGGGGTTTTGCCCAAAAAACTAATCTGCAGATATAAATGTGTAAGTATACGGACAAAAGAAAAGAGGTGAGTAATGGAGAAGATAGATTTGAGAGGGTTCTCGAGAGAAGGAATAATACGTGGAGTGAGGTGGAATCAGGAAGTGAGGTGACTAGGTCCGTAGGTAGGTTTAATTAAGCAATGAGAAATTAATTAGTGTGAGTGACTCTTCAAAATAGCTCTTTTTTGTTGTTTTATTTTTTATTTTATTTCATTTCTTTTTTCTTCTTAGAGGCCGTTTAATACGAGTATATAACATCATTTTTTGACTTATCAGGCTGATAGAGTATATGGGCCTGGACCCCATGGCCCCACATACTCAAGTCAACGACGACCAGAAGAACACCCACGTGGCCCCCATCGGCCAGCAGGCCCGCATCGGCCAGAAACCAAACCGGCCCAGAAAGCGCGCATGAACTCCCGGGACCGCATCGGCCCATGGACCGCATCGGCCATGGGGCCGCATCGGCCAAAGACACCGCATCGGCCAGACTTCGGCCGGGCAGAAAGCATCTCTCTACTTTATTTTACTAAGTATTGTACACAGCCCATTAGTGGCCCTATTTCGCCCAAAGAAGGCATGATTATTGTAATGGGCCTCCTAAGCCCATGGCTAGGAGCCCAAATCCACATTTTTTCCTATAAATAGACCCCTTGGGGCTAGTTATAGGGGGTTGAGAAATATAATTACTCACTTTCTCTCTCTAGCTCTCACTTCTCTCTAGAATTAATACTCTATCATTTGGTGCTCTCGTTGAGAGTTAGAACAGATCAAGTGAGTACCCCTCGTCGCTACTAGACGCAACAGAATGACAAGAACCAGGTCAAAGAACACCGGAAGGAATGCCCCTCTGAACCAGGAAGGGCAGGGAAACGTTGCTGACAACGTCCCCAATGACCTCATCATTCAGGATGAGAACGCTCAGGAGGTCGAGCTCGCAGCGGCCGACCTTCGCACCCAGCTCAACAAGACTGCCCCAGACGCCCGCATCGGGCTCGAGGACAAGCGCAATGCTGATCGCGCTTCGGGCCAGCAGGCTTCTCACCCTGCTGCCCCCCAGATCAACCCGGCCGCACTATCGGCCATCGTCGCAAGTATTCTCCAGGACCCCAACGTCGTCAGCGCCCTCGTCGCAAAGACAGGGGAGAACAACACTCCCGTGACTGGGGAAGTCGCGACGGTGCCACCACCCCCGCCTCGGCCACAAGGCGTCACCTTCTTCGGCAACAACGAAGATGTCCTCGCCGTGGACACCCATTCCCATACTGCCTCGCCTACCCGGGATACACCGGCCCAACCTCGCGGTAAAATCTCAGCATTCAACAGGCTGGGTGACATCGCGAGTCGCCGGGTACCTACGGGAAGGGTGGCGGATCGGTTGGGTGCCCGCGAGCCGGGATCGCCGAAGGAAAGCTTCGGGTCCGTGTCCCGGACAACGGACCGGCCCCGGCCAGACAAGGGAAAAGGAAAGCTGGTTGATGACGATGCGCGCCACCAAATCAACCTCGCGCACGCGGCCTGGATCCAGACCCCTCTGGGCGGCGCCACGGCCAACACAGACCCAAGGGATGAGATCATCGCCCGCTTGGAGAAGCGCCTCGCTGACATGGAGGCCCGAGAGGCCGCAGGGCGCGCATCGGCTCACACATCCCAGCATCCCAACTACGACGCGCTCCTGAGCAAGGTCAGTGCTCTGGAAAGGGAGTTGGCTGACCGGCGCGATGAGCCCGTCATCCAGATACGGACCAGAGCCCCCTTCTCTGCGAGGGTGCTCTCCGCTCCCATCCCGGAGAAGTATAAGGGGAACCCGATCAAGCCATATGACGGCCGCACTGATCCCCAGGAGCACTTCACCCGTTATCAGAACAATATGATGATGACCAACGCTTCGGAGGAGTACATGTGTCGCTGGTTCCTATCCACCTTGGAAGGACCAGCGTACGATTGGTTCAACAACCTTCCGGAGGGGAGCATCGACTCATGGCAGGATCTTGCTCAACGCTTCCTCACCCACTTTGCCGGAAGGAAGCGCGCGAAAAAGCATTTCGCTCATCTCCTGACCATCAAGCAACAATCGGAGGAGACGCTCCGAGCCTTCCTCGATCGCTGGACGAGGGAGGCGGACGAATGCGAAGGAGCCGATGAACGCACCCTCCTGGCCTTCCTCCGCGGAGCACTCCGGCCGAGCCACTTCGCCCGGAGCCTGTTCACGGAGCCGCCGCGGTCATACCTCGCGGCGCTCCGACGCGGGGACAGGCACGCTGACGCCGACGAGCTCCTGAGCCAGAAGAAGGGTGGGGAGAAGCAACAAAAGAAGGACTCCTCGTCCAACCCCCACCACCCGCCGGCCAACAAGGGACAGCACCAGCCAAAGAAGGCACACCAGGAGCAAGGCGGACAGCGAAGAGAGGATCGTTCATGGCGTCCAAAGTTGGAGGCACAACGCATCCCCTTCACCCACCCGGTGAGCGTCGTCCTTGACCACGCCGAGGCGCAGGGCCTCATCGTGAAGGACCCCAGGTCAGAGGAGGAGATATTTGCGGTCCACAAAGGAGGGACATACTGCAAGTACCACCGCCAGACATCCCACAAGACCGAGGATTGCACCACCTTGAAGAACATCCCACAAGACCGGAGCGCGGTGTCGAAAGTTCGTCTACAAGAACATCCTCACCCGCTTCGGCGTGCCTCAGGAAATCATATCAGACAACGGCACCCAGTTTGAGGCCGAACCGTTCCAAAGCCTCCTCCAAGAATGGGGTATCAAGCACCGTTTCTCCTCTGTTGCCTACCCCCAATCCAACGGGCAAGTTGAGAACGCCAACAGAACCATCTTGGAGGGGCTGAAGAAGAAACTCGAAGAAGAAGGCGGAAGTTGGGTCGATGAGCTCCCCAACGTCCTATGGTCCTACCGCACCACTCCAAGGAGGGCCACCGGGGAGACACCATTCTCCTTGTGCTACGGCTTCGAAGCCAAGGCTCCTACCGAAGTCAACCTCCCCAGCCGACGGGTCACACAATACGACCCCGAAGCCAATGAAGAAGCCATGAAGATTGACTTGCACCTCATTGATGAAAGGCGGGAGATGGCTTACCTCAGAGCGGAGAACTACAGACGACAAGTCAAATCCTACTACGACGCCAAGGTCCGCTCTCGCGAATTCCAAGTGGGGGACTACGTCCTCCGCCGAAGGGAAGCAAGCAAGCCGACGGAAGGAGGAAAGCTCGCCGTCAAATACGAAGGGCCCTACATCATCAGCGCCGTCATCAAAGCCGGCACTTATAGACTAAAGAACCCTAATGGGTCAGATGTACCACGATTGTGGAATGTACACCACCTGGTGAAATTTTACCAATGACTCGAGAAGCGGTGAAGCGGGCAACGTCCCCCACCCCTCGGCTTATTGGTTGAATAAAACACCCTCGGCCTAACGCCACTTATTGAATAAAATTCATGTTTCATCCAATCTCTTAAGATTTGAGCAAAGGGAAACCTAAGGACCGCATCGGCCTAAGCGGTGCAATCACCCGGGACCGATGCGACCTAAAGCCGTCGCGATAAACAACGCACCTAAAGCCGTTGCAATAAACAACGCACCTAAAGCCGTTGCAATAAACAACGCACCTAAAGCCGTTGCAATAAACAACGCACCTAAAGCCGTTGCAATAAACAACGCACCTAAAGCCGTCGCAATAAACGACGCACCTAAAGCCGTCGCAATAAACGACGCACCTAAAGCCGTTGCAATAAACAACGCACCTAAGGCCGTTGCGATCCACAGCGCGCCTACAAAGCCGTTGCATAGACAACGCACCTAAATATCGTATCGGCACAAGCGGTGAAACACCCAAATCGGCCGGCGATATGCAGGACGAAGGACCTGTGTGCATGGTCCAACGTCTTCAAACGGAGAAGCATACCGCGTCGTCCGCGCGGAAACCGCAGGACGGCAGGCCTGAATTAAGGCTGAGGTTACAAAAACTCCACCCGTCAGTAAAATTTCGCTCAGGACCACAAAGGGCGGCCGTCAAAAGACGATGCCTAGCCCGGTCCCTCGTCGACGATAGACGTGGAAAGGCCAAAAAAGATGCCACTGACACACCAAGCCGAGGGCGTATTTACTCCCTCGCACTGATTCACGCAAAAAGCGTAGCGGACAAACTACCGCACATGGACGAAGGGACAGTAACCCTTCGGCCACCCAAAAAAAAAAAAAAAAAAAAAAAAAAAAAAAGAGGGGAAGCCGACGGACCGCGCACACGCCGGCCTCGAGCAAAAAATAAAGTCCCCAAAAGCCAAGCCTCAAAATCGGCTAAGTACATATCAGGTCTTCACCATACAGGAATCCGAGGCACGCGCTTCGGCCTCAACCACAGCTTCATAATAGGAAATCGCCTTGGTTTCGATTATACGAGGCCACATTTCACGGTTCGGACGACGGGCCGCGTCGTCTCCATGAAACTACATTCCACAGCTTCAAGGCGAGTCTCACTAAGGCAGCGTTGCACCACCACTGGGTATCGCTTCGTCCTCAACACTTCAAGACTAAGCCCCAAAACTTGAGACGTGGACAAGATTTGCCAAGGGAAAAATAAAAAGTCACTAAGGGACGAGGAGACGCATCGTCCCCAAAGACAGTAAAGGCGAGAAAATCGCTGTCTCAATCAAGGGACGCCAACGACCTCGAGACACAGCGTTGACACTTAGAAAATTTTACAAGAGCAAACATACTTAACTACAAAGACGACGAGGGAATCATGGTGACAAAGACTTATCATTAATGGATAAAAAGATACAAGAGGTGGGCGCTTCGGCCATTACATGCACTTCAGTGCTATGGCTACAAAAACTAATACAAGAAAATACTAAGCTACAACATTAGCTGGCACTCCACCATCAACAGCACCGTCGCCGTGGCCGTCATCGGCATCATCATCACCACCACCCTCATCGGCTTGGGAGTCGGCAGGCCCTTCGAGCAAATAGTCGTCACTATCACTCCACGGCTCTTCCCCTTCAGACGAACTTAGGATCGGGGGCTGCCTCTCCAACAGGGGGAGCTTCAAATCCTCGTCAGGATTCTTCATTCGCCGAGGGAGACTCAGACCCCTCGGCCTCATCTTCCGGAAGCGACGACGAAGCTTCCTGTAGATCAGCTTTTGCATTCTGTACTGACCACAGTCGTAGAAAGCTTGCATCTCGTTCATCCAGAATTCTTGGCCGGCGGGGTCCTTCGTCGTCCAATCATTCAACCTCTCGGCAACCACCTCATAGCAGAAGGGGAGCTGGTCCTCGGCTTTCCACCCCTCGGCCTTGAAGTCGGCTACGGCCTTCTCAGCAACCACCTCCGCCTCGGCTTTGAGCAGCTCCGCCTCCTCGGCTCTTTGGACGGCAACGGCAACGGCCTCATCAGCTTTCCTCCGGGCTGACTCGGCCTCATCAAGACGCAGCTGAAGGAGCTGCATTTCACCCTCCGCGGCCTTGGCCTTGTCCCTCAGATCTTGGAGAGCCTCATCGGCCGAGACAGCCTTTGCCTCCATCTTCTTTAGCCGCTCTATTTCGGCTTCCTGTCTCCAGTGCTGCTCCCGCAGCATTAGGGCACCCTGGACGAAGCGGAATTTGAAATCAGAAGAGAAACAAAAGCAAAGAAAAAAAATCACCAAGGAAAATGTCTTACCTGGACGACATAGTCCATCCCTCCGTCGTACAGCCGAACATGCTGGCCTTGTCGGCCGAGATACTGGCGATCATACTCAGGCATAGCCTGAGCAAGCATGTCATCACCGCCGACGGTCTCGTTGAAAAGACCACCTTTGACAGGGTATCGTACGGAGACCTCATACGACCCCTTAGCAAGAGCCTCCTCCAAACGGGCGGCAGCGGCAGTAGAGGGAGCAACTCGAGAAGCCGAGGCCACAACGGCCGACGAAGGGGGATCATTCACAGGAGGGACCGCCGACGGCTGAACATCCGCAACAGCCTGAGATGAGGGGGCGCCGGCCTCTTCATTCGTGGGAGCCCTCTTCGTCTTCTTCGAAGCCTGGCTCAGTTTTAGCCCCGCTTCGGCCAGAGTCTTTTGGCCCTCATCAGCAGCCCTCCTGCTCTTCTTAGCCACAGGCTTCTTAGCGGCCTCAACACCCCCTTGGGAACCGCCCGCAGACTTCTTTGCTGCCTCGGCAGCTTGAGCAGCTTTCAACTCCGCATCGGCCTTCCTGGCGGCCCGAGCCATAAATGACATGCGATCCATATCGAAGCCTGCACAAAAAGACACAAGGGTTAGCAAAGGAAAACGAAACATCATGAAAAGATAAAGAAAGGAGGTCAACCTTCGGCCTCAGCTGGCACGCCTAGGCGGGGCCCGTCGGCTTGCTCATAAGACCCCACCATCTTCGGCCAAAGATCATCATCGACATCACCAGGACAATAGTATCTCACGAAGCCGAGAGCAGCCATCCGATACTCAGTAACGTATGTCTTGATGCTCCTCGGCCCCCCCTTAATAAAGGCCTCTACTTGATTACTTATTTCGGCACTCCAAGGGGGGGTATGCAATTCAAAGAGGCCGCTGTGACCATTGGAAGGAAAGAAGTCACCCTGACCCAAGGTGACGAACACGAACTTGGCCTTCCAGCCATGAATGGACGTAGGGAGATCCGTAAACGACCTCCTCCCACTAATCTGCTGCAGGGTTGCGTAGCCGGCACAGTTTTGATGGCTCCCTCTGTCACGCCCCGGACCTCCCCGGACACGTCAACAACCCGCCGTACAATACGAATAGTCAACCGCAGTCCAACACATTCATATTATACAAGGCGTCTCGAATATCATTCACACGTAAGCCATCCATAAACAAACATAGTAAGTAATTCATAATGCAGCGGAAAACATTGTTTAAAACAAAAAGGCCACACCGGGCTATTCATGAGCACGCAGGCTCCATAGTAAAATATCCATGAGCATGTTTATTAATGTTTAAAACTGAATGGAGGAAGCACGAACCAAGTCTTCCCTCCTAGATGATCCCTCGAGCAACGAGCACAGGAAGCAAGCTCTAGCCTCAACCTGAAAAATGGTGGTGGGACGCCCCCGAAGGGGTCAGCACTCTATAGGGCTATAAAGTGCTGGTGTGGATGGCATCTAATAGATATACAACAAGTATTTCAAACACAAGACCCTCAAATAGGGTGATAGTATAATAAAGGCCGTAACCCCAAGTTACCCCTTTAAAAATATACTTACTTTATATATAAAGTCAAGTAGTCGGCCCGTAGGCCCAAGGTTTGTTTATCAAACATACCCCAAAATCCCGTGACCCCTAGTCACAACAATACATAGGGTTCAACCCTAACACACATGTTTGCATTCTCGAGTCCAACTCGACTACATCACCATGCACCCTTATTAACATAAGCTAACTACTCCACCGTGCATTTCTTGAGTCCAACTCAACTACATCACCATGCACGACAATCACCTCATCATGTCTACCCAATGCAATTCTATGAGCACGGGCTCAAGTACATCTCCTTACATTGGCATAGACCCCAATTCCTAAGCACTCACTATGCCTAGAATTGTAATATCAATAATCTATTTTGGGACATCCCTACGGACTGCCCAACCATGGTCTTAGCACCACATTACATCAATTTAGTCACTTGCATCACAATCAAGTTCATCAATTACAATCAAATCCTTAGATTCAATTCTTCAACAATTACAACAATCGTTAACTAGTATTTCAATACTATCAAGATTATTCTTATCAATCATATATTCCACTTGTAAAACCCTACATATTTAGAGATATGTAGCAGCAACTTAATCATTCAATGTAATACATAAATAATCATTTATGTATCTACACAATTCACACATGAGTAGAATGCCTATTTCACATAATAGTTCATTTAACTCCATTTTCATCAATACTTTACCAAATCATTTCTCATTTCATTCTTTGGAAAATAGATCAATATTCCATCAATAGGTTATCATCATAATCCATGGAAAACATTACTTAGGCATTTAGGTAATCTCATGCTCAACCTACAGGTTGTAAGCAACTAGATGTCGATCCTCACCTCAAATGAGCTTTAAAACCTTCCTTCTCGATCCAATGGCTAAAGCCTCGGCCAAGGAAGCTTGAGAACTGATTCCTTGCTTAGAGATGGGTGCTAAACAGCCTCCTCAAGTTGCTATTTCAACCCCTAATCGTTGATACGAAAACAGCCCTAGAACGGGTGTTTTCCGGCTAACTCGATTCCTAGTTTTCCAATATTTGCATCTAGGTTAGTATCTAACCTTTACATCAATAAAATAACTTAATAGGGATGTTTTATACACTTGGAGTAGTGTATAATAGTCCCACCAATCGTTCATATCATTTGGAAAATGAATGGAAAGGTTTTGGGATTAAAAACTCACTTAGAAGAGTAAATCCGTCCCTGCGAGGTCGCGTTCTGCTCGGACGATTTGGAAGCCTTCCTCTACTCCGATTGATGCCAACCAGACCTTCACAGATTCCTCGTCTCGAGAGCTTTCTTTTGGTATCTCACACGCCTTAATTGGATTGGTAAAACTCGAGATATCAACCAAACAGTCTCAGCACTCTCACAGCTCGAGTTCACAGACCACTGCTCGTTCCAGATCGATTTTTGGATGATTACTCTCTCCTCTCGAACTGAGACCACTCAATTATAAAAATAGACTTCAAAAGCTATCCAAGGACACCTTATACACCTCATTTGGCCGAGTATAACATCACTCATGAAGGGAGACAACCAGCACCACTCTTATGAGCGAAAATAGGCTAGGTGGGGTTCCCTTTTGTTTCCTTTGTCAAGTCCAGCCCCTAGAGTCAACTATGGCAGCCTCCTAACCTTATTTTTCTTGTCTTGCAGGTGGAAAAGAAGGGATGGGGCGCAGCATGTGTTCCCCCATTATTTTTGGGAGCAAAACATTAATCAATACATCCAAAAATGGAAGAATGGGTCCTATTGTTTTATCTTTTGTCAAAGATGTCTTTTTGGACTCATCCTAATTTATTTAGAACAAGTCAACTTCCTACATAACATTATTGATCTCCAATATGTGTAGGCTCATCTCAATAACTTACTTGATGGATAATATAGAAGGAAAATCCTACTCCCATTATTTGGCTCAATAATGCCAAAGATGGGGTTATTGGCATTTGTACTCTTCTTTAATCATCCTATCGCTTATTTTGACATTTGTCATTCATATTATTGGGCTACAAGCCGTGTGGGTCGCCCCCGAGTGGGCCTACGACGCCGTCCTCACTGTTTGCTATTTTAGCGGGTTGAGCTCAAAATAATGTATGGACTGCCCGCCCTTCCTCGACTTGTCTTGAAACGTTATGTATAACTATTTAGATAATGTTTGGATCTTTTATTTATTAATAAGGCCCAAACGAGTATCCTCAGCCCAACACTAATGTACGAGTTCGAGCGGTATCATAATCGATCATGAATTACGTAAAACAACAATCGTTTTACAATTGTTTGGGAATCAGAAATCCAATACATAAACTTTGAATTCTAAAATCAAATTCTCAAGGACGTTCGGGTGCGGTGTCACAAGTTCACCCCCCCTTAACAGGAATTTCGTCCCCGAAATTCACAGCTCTACTCGAATAGGAAGGCATACTGTTTCCTCATCAAGGCCTCTGTTTCCCATGTCTCTTCTTCGACCCGATCGCTTTTCCAAAGTACTTTAACCATTGGGACTTCCTTGCTTCTCAATTTCTTCACCTTCCTGTCGGTGACCTTGATTGGTTGAACATCGTAGTTCAAATCCTCACGTACCTCTACAGGTGGCTTCTCCAATACGTGTGAGGGATCATGCACATACTTCTTAAGCATGGATACATGAAACACATTATGTATCTTCTCTAACTCAGGAGTCAACTGTAGACGATATGCAACGGCCCCAATCCTCTCTATAATTCTGAATGGACCTATGTACCGTGGGTTAAGCTTCCCTCGGGTTTGAAATCGAATGATTCCTTTCCAAGGAGAAACTTTCAAGAATACCTCGTCATCAACCTTAAACTCTAAGGTTCTTCGACGCTTATCTGCATAACTCTTTTGCCTATCCTGGGCCGCTTTGAGTCTCTCTCGAATCAATTTCACCTTTGATTTGGTGACCTCAACCAACTCAGTACCCTCGAGTTTGGCCATGCCAACCTCATCCCAGCATAACGGTGTACGGCACCTCCTCCCATACAATGCCTCGTATGGAGGCATACCGATGCTTGCCTGATAACTGTTGTTATAGGCAAATTCCACAAGTGCTAAGTGGTTGTCCCAACTTCCTTGGAACTCCAACGCACAAGCCCTCAGCATGTCTTCTAAGATCTGTATGACTCTTTCAGACTGCCCATCCGTCTGTGGGTGGAAAGCAGTACTGAACTTCAACCTCGTTCCCATAGACTCCTGAAATTTCGGCCAAAAACGTGATGTGAATCGTGGGTCTCTATCGGATACAATGGTCACTGGGACCCCATGCAGCCTCACGATCTCATCCGTATACAATTTGGCTAACCTCTCGAGTGGGTAGGTAGTGTTGATAGGCAAGAAGTGTGCACTCTTTGTGAGCCTATCCACAACAACCCAAACCGCATCGTAGTTCCGAATTGTCCGTGGTAAACCTACCACGAAATCCATAGTCACATGTTCCCACTTCCACTCAGGAATGGGAAGTGGTTGTAACAAGCCTGCTGGATGCTGATGTTCTGCCTTAACTTGTTGACAAGTAAGGCATCGATTGATGTACTCGGCTATTTCCCTCTTCATTCCAGACCACCAGTAACTTTCTTTCAAATCACGGTACATTTTCGTGCCCCCCGGGTGCATGGCATAAGCCGATGAATGAGCCTCCTCTAAGATGGACTTTCGGAGCTCATCATCTGACGGCACACACACTCGGTCACGAAATAACAAGAGACCATCATCTCTTGCCCTGAAATCCTCCACCGGTCCCGCTTGCATGCGTTCCCGGACCTTCATAAGTTCTGCGTCAGCCTCTTGACCCTTCTTGATCTCATCAAGTAAAGTAGGTCTCACCTCAAATCGTGCCAATAAGGCACCATCGCTGGATACCTCCAGTTGGGCTCTTAATGCCCTCAAATTAGCTAGCAATGCCCCAGACGAGCTCTTCCGGCTCAAAGCATCTGCCACCACGTTTGCCTTGCCTGGGTGATACTCTATCACTAGATGGTAGTCTTTTATCAACTCCATCCACCGTCTCTGTCTCATGTTTAGCTCTTTTTGAGTAAACACGTATTTCAAGCTCTTGTGATCAGTGTATATGTGACATGTCTCCCCGTAGAGATAATGTCTCCATATCTTCAGTGCAAACACCACAGCCCCCAGCTCCAAGTCGTGAGTAGGATAATTCACCTCATGCTTCTTCAACTGTCGTGAAGCATAGGCGATTACCCTCCCATTCTGCATCAGCACGCATCCAAGCCCTTGGATGCTCGCATCGCTATAGACATCGTACCCCACACCCTGTTTGGGTAATGCAAGTACCGGTGCCTCGGTCAATCGCTTCTTTAGTTCCATGAACCCCTCCTCACATTTGTCATCCCATACAAACTTAGCTCCTTTACGAGTGAGCTTCGTCAATGGTGATGCCCAAACAGAGAACTTCTCCACGAACTTTCTATAGTAGCCTGCCAGTCCAAGGAAACTACGAATTTCCTTGACGTTCTTTGGTCTCTCCCATTCGGTAATGGCTTCTATCTTCTTATTATCAACAGCAATTCCCGATCCTGAAACCACGTGCCCGAGGAAGCCAATTTCCTTTAGCCAAAATTCACATTTAGAGAATTTGGCATAAAGTTGCTTCTCCCGTAGTGTCTCAAGAACGAGTATCAAGTGTTCTTCATGCTCTTCCTCACTCTTTGAGTAAATCAAAATGTCATCTATGAACACAATCACGAATCGATCCAAGTATTTATGGAATACTCGGTTCATCAAGTCCATGAATGCCGCCGGGGCGTTTGTTAACCCAAACGACATAACAAGGAACTCAAAATGCCCATACCTTGTGCGGAAAGCACTTTTTGGTATGTCGTCTTCCTTAATCTTCAATTGATGGTAACCCGACCTCAAATCAATCTTTGAAAACACGGTTGCCCCTCGCAGTTGATCAAACAAGTCATCAATTCTAGGCAAAGGATACCTATTCTTGATTGTGACCTTGTTCAGTTGACGATAGTCAATACACATTCGAAGTGTCCCATCTTTCTTTTTCACAAAAAGAACTGGTGCTCCCCACGGGGAGTGGCTTGGCCTAATGAAACCATTATCCAAAAGCTCTTGCAATTGGGTTTTCAACTCGTTAAGTTCAGCGGGTGCCATACGGTATGGCGGTATGGAGATTGGTTTGGTGCCGGGCTCGACCTCGATCACGAACTCAATCTCCCTATCGGGTGGAAGTCCCGGTAAGTCTTTAGGAAAGACGTCCCGATACTTGCATACTACCCTAACATCATCAATGCTCGTCTCTTCTTTGGTTTTGTCCACCACATACGCTAGATATGCGTGACATCCCTTCCTCATCATATTCTTAGCCCTCACAGCGGATATGATACAACTATTGGATTTTGCCCTATCCCCCTCGAAGCGTAAGGTTACCCCTTCTTTGCCTTCGAGTTCAAGTACTTTCGTGTAACAATCGACCCTAGCATGATGCTTCTCAAGCCAATCCATCCCCAGGATTGCATCGAACTCAATCATACTCAGCGGCACGAAATCACACGACAAGTTTTGGCCCTCCACTTCCACCTCACACGATGGATAGTGGCTATCTCTCTCGATGTCTTCCCCTAGGGGTGTGGATACCAATAGGGCTTGAGCCATCGGTACTAGGGGTGCGTTGAATCCCCCGGCGAATGCCTCACTCACAAATGATCGTTGCGCCCCGGTATCGATGAGGATTCTCGCACATCTCCCATTAATCTTTAGTGTTCCTACATTTATAAGCCATGTAAGATACCTCTCTAACATACCGACCAATCCTACGAAGAACATAATGCGAAATCATGTCCTTAAAGTGGGCAAAATCCCCCAATTATGGTTGACGTTCGCAGTTGAGATATAAATTGACACTGCCTCACCATTTTGATCATATATCTTCACATACTTAACCAAATCGTTCGATTCAAATTCCATCATTTAGACAATGAAAATATCTACAACTTTCATGAAGACAACTTTTTCATTTGACGAACACTTCGAGGTGTACCCGGTCGGGTAACATACTATACCCGATCGGGTATAAGTTCCAGTGGGTTCGGGCAGATTTTTTTTTTTTGACAAACCCGGTCGGGTTTACCACCATACCCGGTCGGGTATGTGTTCCAGAAAGTGTCGGGAAGAAATTTTTGACAAACCCGGTCAGGTATACCACCATACCCGGTCAGGTATGTGTTCCAGAAGGTGTCGGGCAGAAATTTTTGACAAACCCGGTCGGGTATACCACCATACCCGGTCGGGTATGTGTTCCAGTGGACTTATGAGTGAAAAAACTTGGCCTACCCGGTCGGGTTCATTACCAAACCCGATCGGGTATGCGATCCAGAAGGTTTACGAGGGCAAAAACTCGTCCCACCCGGTAGGGTTTATTGCCCTACCCGGTCGGGTAGTAGCATGGTTTTGCTCTCCTTTCCCATTTCAATCTTACGTCTGCTCCCACCTGGATTCTAGGATTTATAACTTCAATTTATGGACTAATTAAGGATAACACACTAGTGTACGAGAGGCAATACCTGCAACGGAATCCGGGTTAGCTTGAGCATCCGCCTCCGTCATCGCGTAGACCCTAGCTTGAGTCCTTCCTTGATTCACGGACGGCGCGTTGCTTGCGCTTGCTCCCCCTTGCCCCCTAGACGCTTGTGAAGTCCCGGCTTGATTCCGTGTCCCGGTATTACCACCACTTGGCCCTGATGCCCTCGTCCCGCCCAGTTGTGGGCAGCTCATCTTCATGTGACCCGTGCTCCCGCATTGGTAGCATCTAGGAGGGTCACGACATTTCCCCGGGTGGTTCCTCTTGCAATTCTTGCAACGAGTCACCCCCGAGGCTTGTGATTGCCCGCCCGGGCCATGACTTCCCTTAGGTGGCAGTGGGGGTGTCCGAAAAGATCCCCCTCCCCCATGGTTCCCCTTTTTGCTAGGACCTTGATGTCCATGGTTCTCCCACTTCCTCTTCTTTGCCTCTTCGGCGTTCTTCAACTTTCTTTCCTCCCATTCTTTCTCTCCTTTTAACCCTTGCTCGACCACTTGGCTAAAAGTCATGTTAGGCAACTGTGTTGCCCTCTCACGCACCTCCAGGTCTAAGGCATCCCAGAAGTGATTTACCATCCGGTTCTCGTCACACACATACTCCGGTATGAACTCCGCGAGCTCCCTGAATTTGTGTTCAAGATGCCTCACCGTCATTTTGCCCCCTTGGGTCAGGAGGGTATACTCTCTCCTCTTGGCGTTCACCTCAAAATCAGAATAATATTGGGCAAAGAACTCCTGTCGGAAATTCTCCCAAGTCACCGTGTTGCCATACTTTCCCTTGGCTCCGTCCCACCATGTGGATGCCATCCCTTCGAGCAACCTCACCGCCACCCTTAGCTTAAACTCGGGGGTGAGTTGCATATCAAGGGCTGCTTCGTTCAGCCTCTTGATCCATTCCGCGGCGACCGAGATGTCACCCGCTCCGTTGAAGGGTTTGCACCCCAAGTCTCGTGCCTCCTTGAGGTATTTGGAGATCCTTATGATCGGACCTCCATCACCCCGACCCCCATGTGGTTCAATGTGGGCCCTAGAGTCGCCATGGCTTCTTCCTCTTGAAGCCCCACCCGAAGTTCGCCCTCCTCGGCGCCTTCGGCGTTCCCTCCTTCCCTCGCGCTCCCGCTGGTATTGCTGGAGCAGCGCCTCAATTCTGGCTAGGGAGTCACTCTCCCCTTCTTCATCACTTATATCATCGTCATCCCCTTCGTAAGGGGTCTCAACCGGCTCGGTCTCCGGTTGGTAAGTCGAGTCCTCATAGGACCAGTAGGTTTCACTTTCTGTGTCAACATGACCGTCACTCACGGTCTGTGATCGGCCTCCACGGCCAGCTCCTCTAGATGCCCTAGAGGTCCTTCGACTGCCCTGTCCAGTCTCCACTGGTACACGGCCCGTCGGGTTCCTCCTAGTAATCCTGCCACCACGGTCCATTTCTGAAAGAAATTTGCAAGGAGTCGTTAGACTCGTATCAAATGTCAATTGACGGATATGTACTTAAGACACATTTTGGCTCGAGTCACCGCCATACCAATTGCTAAGGGTACCATCTTAACAATTAGAGACCTTGCAACCCAAGTACCAAAAGCTCTCCAAGTACAAAACTTCTATGCTCATGGTTTTCAAAATATTTTCAAAAAGAGAATTTTGAGACTTCATTATGAAGTTTATGGACTAAGGCTCTGATACCAACTTAATTGTCACGCCCCGGACCTCCCCGGACACGTCAACAACCCGCCGTACAATACGAATAGTCAACCGCAGTCCAACACATTCATATTATACCAGGCGTCTCGAATATCATTCACACGTAAGCCATCCATAAACAAACATAGTAAGTAATTCATAATGCAGCGGAAAACATTGTTTAAAACAAAAAGGCCACACCGGGCTATTCATGAGCACGCAGGCTCCATAGTAAAATATCCATGAGCATGTTTATTAATGTTTAAAACTGAATGGAGGAAGCACGAACCAAGTCTTCCCTCCTAGATGATCCCTCGAGCAACGAGCACAGGAAGCAAGCTCTAGCCTCAACCTGAAAAATGGTGGTGGGACGCCCCCGAAGGGGTCAGCACTCTATAGGGCTATAAAGTGCTGGTGTGGATGGCATCTAATAGATATACAACAAGTATTTCAAACACAAGACCCTCAAATAGGGTGATAGTATAATCTAGGCCGTAACCCCAAGTTACCCCTTTAAAAATATACTTACTTTATATATAAAGTCAAGTAGTCGGCCCGTAGGCCCAAGGTTTGTTTATCAAACATACCCCAAAATCCCGTGACCCCTAGTCACAACAATACATAGGGTTCAACCCTAACACACATGTTTGCATTCTCGAGTCCAACTCGACTACATCACCATGCACCCTTATTAACATAAGCTAACTACTCCACCGTGCATTTCTTGAGTCCAACTCAACTACATCACCATGCACGACAATCACCTCATCATGTCTACCCAATGCAATTCTATGAGCACGGGCTCAAGTACATCTCCTTACATTGGCATAGACCCCAATTCCTAAGCACTCACTATGCCTAGAATTGTAATATCAATAATCTATTTTGGGACATCCCTACGGACTGCCCAACCATGGTCTTAGCACCACATTACATCAATTTAGTCACTTGCATCACAATCAAGTTCATCAATTACAATCAAATCCTTAGATTCAATTCTTCAACAATTACAACAATCGTTAACTAGTATTTCAATACTATCAAGATTATTCTTATCAATCATATATTCCACTTGTAAAACCCTACATATTTAGAGATATGTAGCAGCAACTTAATCATTCAATGTAATACATAAATAATCATTTATGTATCTACACAATTCACACATGAGTAGAATGCCTATTTCACATAATAGTTCATTTAACTCCATTTTCATCAATACTTTACCAAATCATTTCTCATTTCATTCTTTGGAAAATAGATCAATATTCCATCAATAGGTTATCATCATAATCCATGGAAAACATTACTTAGGCATTTAGGTAATCTCATGCTCAACCTACAGGTTGTAAGCAACTAGATGTCGATCCTCACCTCAAATGAGCTTTAAAACCTTCCTTCTCGATCCAATGGCTAAAGCCTCGGCCAAGGAAGCTTGAGAACTGATTCCTTGCTTAGAGATGGGTGCTAAACAGCCTCCTCAAGTTGCTATTTCAACCCCTAATCGTTGATACGAAAACAGCCCTAGAACGGGTGTTTTCCGGCTAACTCGATTCCTAGTTTTCCAATATTTGCATCTAGGTTAGTATCTAACCTTTACATCAATAAAATAACTTAATAGGGATGTTTTATACACTTGGAGTAGTGTATAATAGTCCCACCAATCGTTCATATCATTTGGAAAATGAATGGAAAGGTTTTGGGATTAAAAACTCACTTAGAAGAGTAAATCCGTCCCTGCGAGGTCGCGTTCTGCTCGGACGATTTGGAAGCCTTCCTCTACTCCGATTGATGCAAACCAGACCTTCACAGATTCCTCGTCTCGAGAGCTTTCTTTTGGTATCTCACACGCCTTAATTGGATTGGTAAAACTCGAGATATCAACCAAACAGTCTCAGCACTCTCACAGCTCGAGTTCACAGACCACTGCTCGTTCCAGATCGATTTTTGGATGATTACTCTCTCCTCTCGAACTGAGACCACTCAATTATAAAAATAGACTTCAAAAGCTATCCAAGGACACCTTATACACCTCATTTGGCCGAGTATAACATCACTCATGAAGGGAGACAACCAGCACCACTCTTATGAGCGAAAATAGGCTAGGTGGGGTTCCCTTTTGTTTCCTTTGTCAAGTCCAGCCCCTAGAGTCAACTATGGCAGCCTCCTAACCTTATTTTTCTTGTCTTGCAGGTGGAAAAGAAGGGATGGGGCGCAGCATGTGTTCCCCCATTATTTTTGGGAGCAAAACATTAATCAATACATCCAAAAATGGAAGAATGGGTCCTATTGTTTTATCTTTTGTCAAAGATGTCTTTTTGGACTCATCCTAATTTATTTAGAACAAGTCAACTTCCTACATAACATTATTGATCTCCAATATGTGTAGGCTCATCTCAATAACTTACTTGATGGATAATATAGAAGGAAAATCCTACTCCCATTATTTGGCTCAATAATGCCAAAGATGGGGTTATTGGCATTTGTACTCTTCTTTAATCATCCTATCGCTTATTTTGACATTTGTCATTCATATTATTGGGCTACAAGCCGTGTGGGTCGCCCCCGAGTGGGCCTACGATGCCGTCCTCACTGTTTGCTATTTTAGCGGGTTGAGCTCAAAATAATGTATGGACTGCCCGCCCTTCCTCGACTTGTCTTGAAACGTTATGTATAACTATTTAGATAATGTTTGGATCTTTTATTTATTAATAAGGCCCAAACGAGTATCCTCAGCCCAACACTAATGTACGAGTTCGAGCGGTATCATAATCGATCATGAATTACGTAAAACAACAATCGTTTTACAATTGTTTGGGAATCAGAAATCCAATACATAAACTTTGAATTCTAAAATCAAATTCTCAAGGACGTTCGGGTGCGGTGTCACACCCTCGGCCTATCCGGAACAAGTTCATAAACAGGGCAGTCGTCGGCGGAATCTCCAACTCTTTACACCGGATCAAGAAGCCGATGATGAGCGAAAAGCTGTTGGGAGTCAATAAGGCCGGAGGGAGCTCCACCATCTCAAGATACTCGTTGATGAAGGGATGAAGAGGGAATCTCAGACCCTTGGCAAAACTCATCGGGTAGACACCAAAATAGCCCAAAGGCGGGTTCAGAACATGATCCGACGGCAAGGGGGCTCTGACACGGCCGTAGGGACCGACGTACAGCTGCGCAACGTGATAATCGCCGAGGGTCCCCTCCGGCCGAATGATGTACAAGTTGCTGAGATCTAACTTTGAAAACCCCTGCGGTACTCCCTTACGATGCTTCCGCCGGTACGGTTTTTTCGTCTTAGGAGCCGAGGGGCCTTCCCCCGCTACTGACGATATCGGCGGAGGACAAGGAATGCGGGCAGACGAGGATGCCTCATCCCCCCTCAGAGGCGAGCTAGATGTCGCCTCGTCCTCACCAGAATTATGTGCTCCCGCGTCGGCACTCATTCTCTCCTCATCTACGGAGGTGCGGTAGTCAGCGGTATTCTCCATCTCGATCTCGAAGGCTTCAATCAGTCGAAGATCAACTCCAGGGGACGTATCGTCCTCGTCAAAAGGCCAATCCGACTCGTCCAAAGAAGCTGTCAAATCAACGGGGGAGGGAACGCTACGGCCGTTAGGGAACGGCATAACACCTAAACCTTTTCCTAAGGGCGGTTTTTCGGATCAAAGTGACTTTCCTACGAACACTAGATCTAACCCCCTAGGAAGCAAAGTATAAGGAAAAATGAAGCAACAATTACAAGAACCTAACCTTGAAGTTTTGAAGAACACTTGAACACCTGGAGATTCGGGGAAGCACTTCTCTCTCTAGGAATCTCAGCAGCAATTCGACTTAGGCAAAAGGCGAATGAGGGAATGGCTTCGGAATTGGGGGTACTTATAGGTACCCCTCCAACGGTCACTACACGTGGCAATCCCCAATTGGGCACCTCAACGGCGCCTCTCCTAAAGCCAATCAGCGCTTGTCTTTTCACATTCCACTCTAAAGCCACCACTACGGCCCAACAGGCCCCGAAACTAGGGGTAGGCACAGGCCTACTCGCTCAAACGCAATAAGAAACTCGCTACGGCCCAATTTACCAAGGAAATGGCCGCATCAGCAAACACGCTACGGCCCCAAATCAACCCCAAGAAACACAAGTACCGCTACGGCTACTCACACGCACATCGTTTGATGATGACCCTGGTATTGCGGCCTTCGTCCAAGGGTTCTCCCACAGGGTTACCTTGTACAGGTTCGCCTAAGGGTTGGACTCACGAACTAACGCATGGGTACCGTATCGGCTCGAGAACATCATGACTCCCTTGTGCCTCAAATACTCTTCGGCCAAAGGAGTGGGGGACTGGGGGACTATATCGGCCACAAGAAAGAAGACAACATAAAAAGGGAGCGCAACGGCCTTAAGTGCAAAAAGGGTGCGCTACGGCTCACTAATTAGCCGCGAATCACCTCAATGACATTGCGGATCGCATTGGCTACAGACCCCAAAAATTTAAAACACTTATACAAAATACAGCGCGCAACGACTACGTACATTGGGGGGGACTGCGCCGGCTCACCAAGGCGAGAACACCGCAAAGCAAGAATGCTCCGGCCACGTGACAAGATCAAAGACAGGCATCGCATCGTCCTCACGAACAAAATCAGTCATCCCCATTTCACAAAAACAAGGACCATCACTACGGCCAAAAAAAAAAAAAAAAAAAATAATAATAAATAGGACCTCTTCGGCCCCAACAAAATGGTAATAAAACAGGCCAGTTCCTCCATAATTCACATCTACTGGAAGAAGAAAGCGCACCACGTCGTCCTCGGAACACTCTTCACAAATAGCGCATCGGCCCGCACCAAAGTTATGAAATCCCCAAGCACGCCCCGTCTGCATCAGATGAGGGAACCGCTTCATCCCAAAATCAAAGCAGAACCTCTTCAGGCCACCAAGCACCTCGAGCTCACACAGCGGCCAGCCAGAAAGGAACAAGTACTCCCTTTCGCTTCGGCTTCACCTCAGCTCAGAGAGTGGGGGACTCCTGATAGAGTATATGGGCCTGGACCCCATGGCCCCACATACTCAAGTCAACGACGACCAGAAGAACACCCACGTGGCCCCCATCGGCCAGCAGGCCCGCATCGGCCAGAAACCAAACCGGCCCAGAAAGCGCGCATGAACTCCCGGGACCGCATCGGCCCATGGACCGCATCGGCCATGGGGCCGCATCGGCCAAAGACACCGCATCGGCCAGACTTCGGCCGGGCAGAAAGCATCTCTCTACTTTATTTTACTAAGTATTGTACACAGCCCATTAGTGGCCCTATTTCGCCCAAAGAAGGCATGATTATTGTAATGGGCCTCCTAAGCCCATGGCTAGGAGCCCAAATCCACATTTTTTCCTATAAATAGACCCCTTGGGGCTAGTTATAGGGGGTTGAGAAATATAATTACTCACTTTCTCTCTCTAGCTCTCACTTCTCTCTAGAATTAATACTCTATCACAGGCTTATCAACCAACTTTTTCACCAAACGCGTAACTTTTACTTTCGCGCGCTGAATTGTGTAATAAGCAGAAAAAGTAAGGTTGAAGTTACTTTTCTGGATGTATTGGCTGAAGTTACTGTAGATGACCATTTTAACTATTTTTACATGTAATTTTTTATTTATTTTATTAAAATAATATATTTTAAAAATAATTTTTACTTAAGACAGCAGAAACAGCCACTTCAGCCAGAACTTCATAAATTTCAGCAGAATCAGCCAAAACAGCCGATTTTCGTGCTACCAAACAGCCTCTTAAACATGCTATTCTTATTAAATATTTTTTTCTCATTTTACTTTTTGTTACTCCCTCCGTCCCTAATTTATCTTCCAAATAGGTTTGGCACACAGTTTAAGATAGTGGGTATTGTGTGGTGGAGAGTTGTGCAGAGGAGAGAGAAATGTGTAAGAATTGCTGTGAACCCCAAATTTTGGCCAAAAAGGGAAAGTGGAAGTTTTAATTGGGACGGACGAAAAAGGAAAGTTGGAAGTTTATTTAGGGACGGAGGGAGTATATGTTTTCTTTTTTATTTTTACTTTTCTACTTTTATAAGAAGACAAACATAAAAACAAAAAAAAAACCACAAAGAGGAACTATTTTGACGAGAAACTTTACAAAAAAATCTCTCCTAATAGAGTGAGAAATAAAATAAGGGTTTTTTACAGGAATATTATTAAAATAAAACTTATTTACATAAATATGACTATTCATTACTACAATGTAGTGTTGTGGTAACTTAAGTTCAAAACTTGTACATGAAATACTATTATTTCATTACTACTGTAGTAACTAATCATATTTTTGTAAATCATCTTTATTTTGATAATATTTATATAATTATTTCATAAAATAATAAAAAATGAAAAAGAAATAAGAACAAAATGATAGAAAAAGTAATAAAAAATGTCTAGGGATGAAAATAAAGAAGAGATAATTATCTTAGATATGACTAAAACTCCATTACTTTCTCAATATATGACTTAATGAGTTTTTTTCCAAAATAAAATTAAAATTCGTTATATTTAATTAATATATTTATAAACAATTCAATAAATATTTTTTTGAACTAATATGCCCTTGGATACTTATTATAAAATCCTAACATCATATTCTACTCTTCTCAACCCTAGTTCTAGCCCATCCGCCTAACTCGTAGGATTTCCAGCACTCCGCCCAAGTGGTTCTGCCGTCCAGACACCTGCCATAGCCGCGCCGCCCAGCCGTTTGCCATAGCCGCGCCGCACAGCCGCCTACCAGGCCTATAGTCTCCCAGCCTCTTTCTCATCTTCATTCATTGTGATCTTCACGGATTTGGGTCAATTTCTCATGTCCGCAACAGATAGATCGGGCTCAAATTAGAACATGAAGAAGAAGGGTAAGGCTAGAGATACAGAGATCTGGCGGTCATGGAGTGGCAGCACCCGGAAGATCCGTTTAAATTTTAGTGCGTGGTTCAAATTGGAAATACAGCCAAACCAATTTTATTACTCCGTATCTTTCAAATATTTGCCAAAGGTCTAAGTGCAAAACACACGTATTGCACAGTTGCACTACTTTAATTTTCTTTGTGTTTTTAG